TGGATATATATATATATATATATATATATATATATATATATATATATATATATATATATATATATATATATATTGAGAGTAACTTGTACAAAAAGTCAACTGAACAAAAACGTGTGTCACGCAGCGACGGACCCGATACCTATATACAGGATGTCCCATTTTAATCGATCACCTCAAATATCTCTTAAACAGTGCATTTTAGGGAAAAATGTTTCAGATCAAAGTTTTGGGACTTTGACGGGGACATAAGATGATATCATTGATTTGACCTCGAGTGGCGTCGTCAAAGTCAGGACAAGGTCACTTTGAATTTTTTAAATGGAACCCCCAATTTTTCATTACATATTCTTATAGCATATCTCGAGAACTTTCCAAAACACTATAATAAAATATTTTTTCATTAAGTATCTTTCGAGTTAAAAGGCTTCAAAGTTACAATATTGGTACCCAAGGTATTCGACCGATGGCTAAAACCTTTTGAATGTTGTTCAGGGGCATGACCTTGACAACATTTGTCAAATACGGTATCGAGAACGTATTTTAAAAATACGGTTTTTAAAAATACTGAGAACAGTTAGTGACGTGGCTTTATTAGGGCCAGATTTTCGACGTATTCGTTTGAGAGCGCCCTGTTGTGCCCTTTCACATAGTCTTTTAATTACCGTCCTATTAGGATGACGTCTATCCGGAAATGTTTCGGCATAAATCCTTTCATATAATTATTCCTGGCCTCACCTAAAATTCTGATCATATTCACGATTTCGTTAGGCAGGTAATCAGCTATAATTACAGAACAATAGAAAAACTTGTGTAAACACTGAAAGTATTGAATTCGCCACGAGTCTCCGCCCTGCGGTTGGATTAGCAACAATACGGACAAGTGACGCTAGCAAGTGAATGACACGAGCTATGATTATTAAAGAAATTTATTAATGGGATTTCACACATGTGCTTCTTTGTAGCTCAGACGAAGCATTGTGACCTTCATATGATCCTTTAGAGTCAATCGGACTCCACATGTTACCCCATGATTTCAAATTATTATTTTCGTTTTCACTGTAAAATTTGAAAGAATGAAAATATTAGGAACAGCCTCCAATCACCTTGACCTTAAAGCCTTTTAACTCGAAAGATACTTAATGAAAAAATATTTTATTATAGTGTTTTGGAAAGCTCTCATGGTATGCTATAAGAATATATAATGAAAAATGGGGGGTTCCATTTAAAAAATTCAAAGTGACTTTGTCCTGACTTTGATGACGCCACTCGAGGTCAAACCAATAATATCATCTTATGTCCCCGTCAAAATCCCAAAACTTTTATCTGAAACATTTTTCCCTAAAATGCACTGTTCAAGAGATATTTGAGGTAATCGATTAAAATGGGACACCCTGTATATATGTGTCACGCACGCTCACTCCAGATAGCGTTTCTAGTTAGAGTGGCGCGAATTATGATGAGCATTCATTCAACAGTAACGCGAGCGTGTCCTTCGTTTTCCTGTTCTTTTCCCTTTTTCCTCTTTTTTACGACCGCGAAATGCGCCCCGCAACGGAGTGGAAAAGGGGAGAAAGTTGTACTCACCTTTCTCCTGGCACTCGGAAATGCAGTCCCGCACCGTCGATCCTTCACTGACGTATTTCTGAAAGACAAACAAACGAAAGTGGTCCTTAAATGGACGTGAAATACAACCGTATTCGGAGTAAGTAAGGTAGAAGTTAGAGTGACTAACTCTTAGGCTTATATTAATAGTTCTTGTTTAAAATTTGTCTCACGTGAGATACTCAGATCTGAATTACAAGTTAGATCATTTCTCATTTGAATCATACAATATTTGTGACGTTGTTGACATTCAACTGAAAAATCCACATTTAACTCTCAATTCAGAATCTGAATACCTTACTTGAAACAAGTTTCAAGTAACAATTATCAGTAGAGGTCTTAATCAACCAATTTCGGGATATCGACTTTAAAAAGCAAGGACATAATTTAGGATTTTGTCATTGGTTAATTATAAATTACAAAACATCTTGTAATTTTAACGTACATGTTCCTCCATGTACATATATAAATATATTTTGACACATTAATTTAAAAAATACAGAAGTTAAATAAATTAAATATACCTAGGTATATAAATAAAATATTTATCCATTATTAAGTTAACATCAAATAATCAACAGAACGTAGTGTTTTTTACAACTTTTTAATATAAAAATCATTAGTTTAAAACTAGACTAATAAAATTCTTAACATTTTTAACTGTGTGTAAGTGTTTATTTCTTGTACATATATCGGTGTATTTTGGCATATTAATTTCTAAAATAGATAAATTAAATAAATTAGACCTAGATAGGTAAATAAAATGTTTATTCATTGTTATGTCAACATGAAATAATCAAAGAGAGAACGTAGCCTTCTATATTCTTGATATAAAAATAATTATAGTCTAAAACTAGATTACTGCAATTCTTAAAATTAAATTTTTGGATATCGCCCTTGACACATCCAAACACAACTAGAAAAATTTGGATTTTGTTATTGTGTGTATATATGTGTGATACATTAGATCACAAAATATTTTGTAATATTACAGTATGTAAATGTTCTCATGCCTTAATAAATACATTTTGACATATTAATTTTGAAAATAGATAAGTTCAATAAATTGGATTCACTTGGGTAGATAAATATTTTTTATTCATTATTATTAATCAAAGATCAACCCATCAACGCAACATAAAACAAAAAGAAAAAATCAACACAAAATGTACTTTTTTCTCGTACAAACGAGTATATAATATGTGAATAATAAAATTTTATACTATTTATTTTACGTGATGTAATGAATCGGGATAAATAGCGTCCCGACTAATGTTCTTCCGGGACTTTGAAGAGAACCAAAAACCGGAATGTTCAACGAAATTTGAGACAGTTGGTCACCCTGGTAGAAGTCTTGGGTAGGAATGTGCGATTTATGGAATTATACATCGCGATACAATCTTTTTTATGAATCAATATTTTGCAATGAATGCAATATATTGCATCACAATTGTGCATCGCAAATATGATTTTAAATCGCGCACAATTTCGTATCGCAAGTGCCATTTTATGTCGCTAACGCGATTTAAGCTTCACGCGATTTAAGTTTCACGCTTAAACAAATAACGCTTTTAATCATAAAGGAACCTGAGGCATAATGGAAACCGTAAATAAATGTTCAAATAAATGTTAAACATATTAAAAATAAATAAATCAATTCTCTCTTTATATGGCAACAAAATTTTACTTTTTGAAATGTCCATTATAAGAAAACACAAGTTTTACTGTGAAACAATAGTTAAAAATGAAATGTACATATCCTTAATATTTCTTTAAAGACATTACTTAACATCATTATGCTTTCTACACAGGTCAAAGTGAGAGATATTTTACAAAACATGTTTATTTCCGTATCATTAATTCTCAAGTGTTTTTAAAAGTTATTAAGACATGGAATATATAAGGATGTGTTATTATGCACATTTAATTAATTATAATTATATTTATTCATAACATTTTTCTTATAAAATCTTATAATCTTTTATTACATTTTACTACAATATTAATGACAATCAATATATAAAGTGTAGCAGTCTTTGATAATCTTTTTAAACATATATAAGAAATATATATAAAAATTATATATAAATATAAATAATGCAACTTAATAAATCCTTAATATTTCCTTAAAGACATCACTTAACATCATTATGCTTTCTACACGGATCAAAGTGAGAGACATTTTACAAAACATGTTTATTTCCATATCATTAATGCTCAAGTGTTTTTAAAAGTTATTAAGACATGGAATATATAAGAATGTGTTATTATGCACATTTAATTAATTATAATTATATTTATTCATAACATTTTTCTTATAAAATCTTATAATCTTTTATTACATTTTACTGCAATATTAATGACAATCAATATATAAAGTGTAGCAGTCTTTGATAATCTTTTTAAACATATATAAGAAATATATATAAAAATTATATATAAATACAAATAATGCAACTTAACATTTTAAGACTGTTATAATAGCATAATCCCATTATGTCTCTAAATGTAAAAGTTTGGATTAGATAGTTAAATATCATTGATTTACGCGATATCTGCACGGATACTTAACTAAAATGACGAGTGATTTTGAATTGCAGGCGCGATTTTGCGATAGAGATCCAATCGCTCTTTCGCATTATGATTCAGGGAAAGAAAGTCGCAGTGCTTGCGATATATCGCAAAATCGCACATCTCTAGTCTCGAGAATGGCGAGATCGTCGAATGTATGACGGTGGAATGTGAAAACGGCGGCGAAGAAAACGGGGGATGATTAACGGCCCGACGCAATTTGCGGTTTTTCTCGCGTGTGGGGGGAGGAGGAGGGGGGGCATGCGTCGAATATTTTATCCGTCGACGAAATGATGCGTGCACTCTCGCGCGTTGCTCGCGTACGGCCAATAAATCCGCGCCGGTTATCGAGTGAGAATCACGGCCCCGGATTTCATCTGCCAATATTGTTTCGCGCAATTTTGCAGCGCGCGCGCACGGAGCTATGCGGAAAACGCCGCGCGAATCGGAATTTTTGCGCGGAAAATGAAATATGACGCTCACGTGTTCGCGGGAAGTTCGGTCGCGCCGGCTAACTGTGTGGGGGTTGGGGGGAGGAGGAGCGAAATGACCGGAGGTATAATGATGTATAATATTATAAACGTATCGTTATACACTCTTTCCGTTCTCTTTCCCTCTGGCTTTTTTTTTTTGGACGGAAGGCTTTTTTCCGTCACTTTTCACGGGATTCAGTTTCGCGCGATCGGGAAATTGAAACTCAAAAATTCTCACCGATTTCATGGACATTTCGTTTTCCGCCAGACTGAACACCGTCGCGGTGCTTGTAAGAGCGGGGTCGCGGGACGATTAGGAACGACAAGTACGCGGCTGTGTGATCCTTCAGCAGATCCTGATTGGTCAAACGCGAATCCCTCGGAGCGGACTACGTCATGTGCGCGGAATGATCGATATTCGACGATTATAACGCCCCGAGGACGTCGTACATATTAAACCCTCCGATTCTCCCCTTCGACTCTGGTCTCCCTCTCGCTCCATCTCTCTCTCCCATACACATACACTGTCTATCTATCTATCTATCTATCTATCTATCTATCTATCCATCCATCCATCCATCCATCCATCCATCTATCTATCTATCTATCCGCCTGCCTATCTGTTTGTCTCTCTCTCTCTCTCTTTACCCCTCGCCTGTCTCCCTTCCTTCCGTAGTTATTAAACTCCCTTTGCACAGATCAAGAATTTCGTATCGCCAATACTCGTTATTGAAGCTCTCTGGCGCGACCACCGCCGAATAACGTGAGAATGAAAAGGTTGATCGTCCGATACGCCTCTATCCAATCCCTCGCTGGCGAGTGCGGCAGTATCCCCCTTTATTCTCCGTTCGTCCCTTTGAACTCGCATCAACATTAGAATCGGTCAGTATTTTCTGCTTTGTCAGTCGCGCCGCAAATATATCGACGCGAGCAGGCGCCGCTGCCGAGCAAGAGTACAAAGATACTGGCCGATTGCGGTATCACTTTGTGGCAGCGTTATCTTTCAGAGACAAGCACGTGTGCGTGCGAATCTCTTGACGTGTATTTGTAATTCGCAGCGCCGATCGACGCATTGAGAGCAAATTTGTCATTAATTGTAATTTCGAGAAGAGAACGAGGGAACATCGTGCGTGAGTCTCATCGATATATCGCGACGATTGCATAAATGAACGTGTTGATGAAAAAATAAGAAAAAAATTTATGCGTCAGATATCACATCGATGCATTCGAAATTTGAGTGCACCACGACATTACAAATGCTAGATGACGTCAGAAATCGTAATGGCGAAATAATGGACACGGATGAACGCGCGTCAAATTTTACGAGAGCGAAACCGATGAAGCGAACGGACGAATGAACGAGCAAATGTACGAACGAGCGAATGCGGGGAAGAAAATGAGCACATCGCGCCCGCGCGACAGTAAAATCATGAAACTGTGTTTATTTGCAACGAGTTGAAATCGTTTCGCGCGATTCGTCATAATCGCACGAGACGTATGAGTATGAGTATGAATATGAATAGAGATGTGCGACTTTGCGATATATCGTAAACATTGCGATTATCTTTTTTTGAATCTCAATGCGATACACAATCGGACCTTTATCGCAACATCGTGCTTGCAATTCAAAATCATTCATCATTTATTTAAATATCTGTAAATATCATGCGATAATCTACGATATTTTATACTACTGAAACAATATAAGTGCGCGCTACGCGCGCGCCATATAGCTAATAAAAAACAATAAAAAATGTAAAATAAAAATAAAATAAAAATTAAATTAAATTAAAATATACTTTAATTAATTAATAATTTTAGGGAGAGACAGGGAGAGACAAGGAGAGATAGAGAGAAAAAGGGAGAAACAGGGAGAGGCAGGGAGAGACAGGGAGAGACAGGCAGAGATAAGGAGACACAGGGAGAAACAAGGAGAGACAGGGAGAGACGAGAAGAAACGGAAAGAGACAGGGAGAGGCAGGGAGGGATAGGGAGA